GTGTTGCAGAGAAGGGAAATAGATAGCATAAAGAAGGCTATTAAGGCTCTGACAGCGTAGCGTAGTCGCAAAAGAAAGTATATCTAGACAGAGGAGGCTCTCACAGTTAGTGAGGTACAGGATATAATAGCTAAGAAGGACAGTAGTAGTGGTAAGGCATCTGAACAGTCTAGGAAGAAGGTGCGCAAAGAGAGGCACTGCAGATGTTGCGGCAAGACTAGCCACAATTTGCGCACCTGCACTGCAGAAATATTAGATGCAGATAATAGCGCTACTTCTAAAGAGTAATTATAGCAATTATAAGTATTAGTGCAGTGTTGTGGTTAAGCGTAATAGTTGTGTAATAGTTAGTGACTCTAAAAAAGTTGGTGAGGGGTGGCGGTTTGGTGATACCTGGCGGCTTGGTGATAAACCACGTTATCTCTTTAGCCCCTTTTATAAGCTTTAAGAACCCCTCTTACACTATACTTAGTAATTATTAGAAGGAGTTACTTATAAGCTTAGATTAAGACCTAAACTTGTGTATATTGCTTAGCGTCTTAAATTGCCACAGTGTTTTAGGTAGAGGTACTGCTAGTAGGGTATGCAGCCACACTTTAAGGCAATCTAACACTACCTACGTGTTAGTAGGAATAAGCCCTAATACCTTAAAGGCCTTTTAGTAGTTAACCTTTATAAATATATTAAGGAACACATCCCTAAAGGCTAGTAGGAAGCCTTCCTTGTTAATATAGAAGATATGTTAGTATGCTAAGTCTTAAATATATTAGGAGTACTTACACTTTAATAGCAAGAAACAGACTACGTTAAGTAGCTAGAGGATGTGTAATAAGTAAGGTAGCATATAGAGAGTAAGGATTTAGTTCTCTAGGTAATATTCCTTAAACTCCTAGTTAAGATAGCTCTTATAGCTGTCTAAGATAAGCAACCTGTACACTCCTACCTAACATGTCTTTGTATGCGTGTTAAAGTGCTTTAACTACTTAAGGCTAAGTGTGTTATTTATCTAACTATTCTTAGAGACTAAGAGCTTCTAATTATAGGGTATATCTGTCTCCTTATACTAGGCAGAGATGTGGACGCATCCTTTGTAGATAATGAAAGGTGGGGTTGCATACCTAGTGGCGCAGATGCTCTAGATAACAGTTGTAAAGTTATAAGACTTTGTTCTTATAATCTTTATCTAGCGTATTTCCCTTTTCAGTATAGCGCTATGCTTACCTAAGCATTGCTATTGTAATCTCCAAGAAGAGAGGATTAGAATGGTGTGCTTACGAAGCCTGTATCTCCTCTCGTTCTTAAGATATGCTGTTCTCTATTTTTAGTAACTAGAAATGTTCTAGACCCTCTGCTTACAAATAGAGTAGCCTACTCTGTAAGATGCTGAC